CCTGGGAGGAGGCCGCAGCACAGGGGGCTGCCCACGCCCACGGGGCAGGGGGTGCCCGCCAGGGGCAGCGGGGCAGCACTCACTGGGCGAGCGGCCGTGGAAGTAGTTGTAATACTGCGACACGTAGGTCAGGATGCTCAGCCGGTCCGGCACCTTCAGAGCCACCATGTCCTCGGCCTCCAGCAGGGCCGGGATGCCCAGCTGCTCCTCGGCCACGCGGAAGGCCTGGGGAGGGACGGTCAGCGGGAGCGGCCAGGCCACCAGCTCACCCCGAGGTGCCAGGGGCAAGGACCCCACTGGGAGCCCAGAAAAGCCTGGGCCCAAGGTTCCAGCTCGGCCTGTGTGTCCTCCCTGGGCCTCAGTTTACCCATCTGCATAATGGGGATCACGTCCCGACCACGCAGGACAGAAGGCGCTGGGGAGCCAGCCCCCGCGGGCTCCGGATGTCAATGCCCACCCAGTGGGGCACAGGGTACCCAGAGGGCGAGGGGCGGGCTCTGCCCTCTGTCCCCAGCGTCTGGGACGCGGAGCCCACTTTGCAGCAATGAGACGGGTGGCTGGGCCGGAGGAGGGGGACTCACCAGCTGGTTGTTCTCGTAGACGTTCTCCTTCCTGAGCGCGTCGAAGTCTCTAGGAGGTAACGGTGCAAAGCAGCTCAGACCCGGGAGGCAGGGCTGGGGGCCTCGGGGGTCAGCCTGCCCGAACGGGGAAACTGAGGCGCGTGTGCGGTTTGCCGGGGAAGGAATGTGGTCGCCGCAGCCTCAGGAGGGCTCTGGGCCCTGCTGGCCGGCACAGCCCAGCCCAGGCCTGAACCGAGGGCACAGCTCAGAGGCCTGGCATGTCCCGGGATGGGGCCTCAGGGGGACATGGGGGGGTCCAGGGCAGGGACAGCGACACGCAGTGGGGGACAGAACTCGGCCACCCCCCACCTGGATCCCCAGGCACCTCCCCAACACCCACTGAGTCGGTGCTCACACCCCCACATGCTATCGATGCCCACCTCTCAGGGAGGAGGAAGCTGAGGCACAGAGAGGCTCGGTGACTTGCCTGAGGTCACCCAGCAGAGACCAAAGCCGGGCCATGGCCCCAGCGTCCAGGGGAGTTAAGGTTCCACCAATCGGGGCAGACATGGTTTTTAAAACACATATTTTCATTGATTTCAGAGGGGACAGGAGAGACAGGCACATCAATGATGAGAGAAAGTCATCCATCAGCTGCCTCCTGCACGCCCCACACTGGGGATCGCGCCCACAACCCGGGCCTATGCCCTGACCGGGAATCGGACCACAGCCTCCTGGGTCCTAGGTCGATGCTCAACCAGCGAGCCACGCGGCCGGGCTGGGCGTGGTACTAAGCGCCCACCTGGTGCCCAGCCCCCTCCCCGGGGAACAGAGCCCTGCCCCCCCACACCTGCCACAGGGGCAGGACGTCCCAGCCACAGGGTCCCGTCACCAGGCTGCCCGGAGCCCCGCACACGCCCAACATGGGCACCGCGGCCCCTGGCACCCCAGAAGGGTGTCTGAACAGACAACACAGCCAGACCAGCAGGCAGCTCGGGAGGCGGTTACAAACACGTCTGTCTGTCTGTCTGTCTGTCTGTCCAGGGGGCTGTCTGTGGGGCCTGAACGGCACCCCTGAAGCTTCCGTGTGACCTGGATTGTTCTGGAAGCTTCGCAGCAGGGAGAGCCGGGGAGAGCGTGGGTCTGACTCCTGCAGGGTGAGCCCCCTGCTCCCAGGGCCGCAGTGACCCCGCGAGGGAACCAGCTTCTGCTGGGCAGTGGGGGCCCTGGCTGCCCGCCCCGCTCCCCTGGGGGCCCTGCCGTCCATCACCCCGCCGGCTCCCGGAAACCCCCCTTCCGCCCGACC